ACGTTCTTGTTGTTTTTTCAGCACCGGAAAAATTGCAGAAGCTTTGCAAACGGGTCAATACACCTCGCGCAAATTCTGCCGCGTGCTCTGTCGCGCACAGGACATGCTACGTTCCATGCGCAGTGGGAGTCGTATACTTGATTCCACTGACGTGTGGGTGCGTCTATGTCGGCAAAACCGGCAGGTGCATAAACGACCGCCCCCCAGAACACCGAAACAATGTGCACAATGTGGTACAAGGGCATCTTGGCATTCATTGCCGAGATTGTGGGTGCACCCCCCTCTTTGATCAGTGCTCTATATTGGCAAGGCACTGGGACCGGCTTACCCGAGAAATTATCGAAGCCGAAAAAATACACTTGCTAGGAGATATATCCGTAAGCACTTCATCAGTTGCTTTATCACAGACTGAACGTGATTACCTGGCTGGGCTTTGAGGCAATAGAAGACCCGTCACACGTGCTGTTACTGGTGTGTAGATTACGCTTGTTTTTTACCTTCATGCTCTGTAATCTTCCTTTTTTAGACTATAAATTCTTGCCACTCTGTGAAATAAAGTTAGTTGGAAGTCAGCGCTCTTTCTGTCTGTCCTGTCCTTTTTTCCTTTGTTCGCGCGCTGAAACATCTTGCAAATATGACTACGCACCAACTATATAACCCAAGCTTCCACTCTTGTGAGTTATTGTAACGTAGGGCGAATTTAGGTCCATGCTAAACAAAAAGCAGTTTGAACGTTTAGTGTCCCTGCTGGGTTGTTGGCCCAAAATACATTTTGCAATATTCCTATTTATTGTAGACCAATTTATTTGCATCATACGCAAGGCTTGGAAACCAAACAAGAAGAAAAAATACTGCGCTCGTTATAATTCCTTCTTGCTTTTGCTTTTTTGAGTCATATTTACTATTAAATACTAACAACTACATAGAATTCACTTTTTTTCCTATGTTACTGCAAATATGGGGCTCAAATAATTTACATGGCTACTTGACACACTCAAGGACACACAGATTCAGGCACCAAATGCGCATAGCACGTATTTGATGCCTGGGTGTGTGCGCGTGAGCGTGTCGGGTGTTTGCGCTCAAATTGAGCTTTTAGAATTGATCTACCAACTATCCCAACAACAATTTCTTTTAAAATACTGTGGCTACTATTAACTCGAGTTCTGGCTCCTTGTGAAATTGACGTATAGGGCAACTCAGAATGCAAGTTTGTTTCGAAGGGGGCGATAGCGTTTGCAGGGTCCCCGCCATGTTGATTTGTAACTACAGCTGCTGGTGGTTACTGATACAACAGTACAATAAATACGGCATAAGTGATGATTAATAAACGTATTACGTATTGATGTGAAGTAACGTGTGTGAAAGAAGCGCTAATGTCTCAACACTACGAATGGTAAGGTAATTATATCTGGAACTATGCTTTCCTGCGCAAGCATGTCGCTTTGCTTACACCCCGTAGCATTGGTAGTACTGAACAGTAGTGGTAAGGTAGAAGTATAGACTTTCTGTCGAGTAGAAGGAACTGGACCTCTATCGTTCAAAACTGCCGCACGGATGTCACTCTACTGGTTTTCGCCGCCAAGCGGGAACACCATTTTGTCACGAATGGTGTCCCCCATGCTTTATAGCCATGCAAGTTGGTCAGCGGTGTACAGTGCTTGCAAACACGGACGACTACAGGAAAGCACACAGACACGCATATGTAAGTGCTATGAAAGCATCTTCCTGTAGTTCGTGTTCGCAAGTACGCGAAACCCCTTCATGAATGCATTTCCAACTCATCCAGGAAACCACTCTTAATTCTTTCGCTTTCGAGTCGTCTTAGTAATAGTGATAGGAGACCCTCGGAGTTTTATTACATCGTGTTGAAGAGGGTGGCTTACAGTGGTCGTGCTACGAACAATGCAGGGATACGCGCCACCTCTTGGCAGCGACAGTCAACGAAGCGTGTCCATATCGGAGAGGCCTTCGGTCACCACCTTCTCCACGAGCGACGTGGCATTCGGTACCGGAGGGCCCGCTCAAGCATCCACTGGCGCCGGCCAGTCGAGTCCGAGCCCTTCGATTGAATCCATGGCCGGCACCTTGAGCAAAATTCTCGACACTGTGACAGCCTTGCGTCCCCGTTAAGCGTGTGGCCCACGAAGAAGTGCAGCTGCCCGGAAGTTGGGGGTTCATGCGCAGACGATGAAGCTACTCGGCAGTGTCTACAATTGTTCTCGTTGGAGTAATGTTTGATTCCTTTCATTTATTGCTCCACGTAGCGTATTTTGCTAGAGAGGATGCTTTTCTAGGAGAACATAGTTTTTAAGCTATATAGTAAGCGCGATTTTTAATACATGCGATTGCTCTCTGCATCTGCATGCTTCTTTCGTGGCGCTTCCAAGCTCTCGATTACGGTAAGAACGTTTCTTACTTCACCTTGCAATTTGTGTGCGTTTTTGAGAGTTTTCTCGTAGTATACCGTTTCTGTTTTTATGGGTTATTTTGCTAGTGTTTACCGTAGCTCGCATGCGCGCTACACGAGACGACAAAGATATGGCTGCTCTACCAGCTCTGCTGACAACATGGCTGCTCTGTTTTGTGCCAGTGGGATGCCAATCCTTTACGCAGGGGACTGCAGTTACCATAAAGTTCCCATAACGTGCTTTTGTAAACTTGCACAATAATTTGACCAATAAACGTGTCCGAACAATCCCCTGTGAAATCGCTCTGCTCATCCGTCAGTGCGATTGCGGATATTAGGGCGCGGAAATATTTTTCTTCGTGTCATATACCTTTTCAAAGGTAGACACATACTCGGGTACAACAGCTGTGCTAGCGAGTTTCAGCCGCAAAACTAAGGACTGTCGAGTAAGCAAAAGGAATGACCGATGCTTGAGGTGAAGTAAGCTTTACAACAAGAGAAAAAGCGCTATGGAGGCTCACAAAAGATGCAACTGCAGGTGGTGTGGTGTTCTGCTAAAATGGGGTCCACACAACTTTGCTCTTTACAACTTGAGAAGCGGTACCCTGCACCTCCTGCTTCGATCGCTTCGTGCCAAATATCCATCGAAGCAATCGTGTCATGGGGCCTTCGTGAGGCAGTGGGACAGTGTTTTCCTACTTTTTTAAAAATACTATCATGAGACAGTGGGGCATGTTCCACTTAATAAAAACCGTAGCTATACATCACGGATGCTTTATTCGTGCTTCATGATCTTTATGTATATTCCTATATGCTAAGCATCTAATAACTTCAATGGCGCGCGCGATAACAGAGGACTAAAACAAGCGAATAAACGCAGTCTGTGTCCGGTTACCCAAGGGCATGGAGGAGGGGGGGCTCATTGGCCGGGAACTGCAATTTTCGTGCAAACACCAGTCAAGAAAAGCATAAGTAAAACGCTATAACATAAAACGATGTCTTATTCAAGCCACCGTTCGTGCTTTCGTGCTTTTGTGCTTTTTCAATTTTTTTATCGAATAGTTTGGCTGGTGTACCAAACAATCGTAAACAAACTGCCCCAAATTTCCACCCTTCTGTGGTTGTACGAATTTCACGGTTTGGTTAAAACTCTTTCGGCATATCTGGCTGCAGTATGGAGGCTGCAGTGTCTTGTTCATTTTCAGTTTTGTGTGTTTGTTATTTTTTGTTCAGAGATTCTCATGAAGACGAATTTAGATGCATGACCATGCGCCTGGAAGACGTAATCCGCAAGGACGTGTCCAAGCTTCTTGTTTGTTCGTTTTTTTTGTTGTTGAATGCACAAGCGGTATAAATAAAGGGTGCGGTCGGCCATCAGGCATTCCGGATCTTTTCCCCGCAGGGCACGATACTTGGCGCCTTTGAAATAAAAAAAAACATTTTAAAAACGCGCGGTTACTCAGCCGCCTGGAGCATCTGTGGGTGTGTCGTACATCCTGGATCCCAAAGAAGACGACACACACAAAAGAGAGAGAGAGAAAGATCTCTCTGTATCTGCATGCATGCCCGTGTGGTCAGGGACGACTTCTTCCATAACAAAAGCTCAGCTAGCACCGAAACTTTGCCGCGGTGCTGCAAGACCACGGCGACGTCTGATGGCATCACAGGAAGGCTTGACCCAACCCCCTCACTGAGCCCGCACCTTTTCCGTACCTTAGTTACATCTTGCCAAGGAGTACGCAGCTCTGGCGGCCGCCTCCGCCGCTGCCGCAGAAGACGACCTCACGCAAATTGCTCACACCGCCATCTCAGAGGTCAGGCCTCCGAGCAGTCCCGTACTGCAGCGTTGATGCAACGCCCTGACGTTCACGTTTTCCTTTCTTTCTTGAGGTCGTCTCGCCCCCCCCCCCCTTCGTCTACCGCAAGTGGCGGCGTGGGCGGCGCATACATAGCATACAAACACCGGTGCGATGTTCGCACGCTCTTCGAAAGCTCGAGAACGCTCACAGCTTCTTTTATTCACCGCGTCCTTGAGCCATTCCTTCGCATTTATCGTATGCATGCAAGGGGCAGTTTTTCTCTCGTAGGCGATTCGACGCAGTGAAGTACGTAATGACCGCACGCATGCCGTTTATTGAGGCATTTTCGTCGCAACACGGTAAAAAAAGGAAAGCGAACGGAATCACGATTCAAAGCCACCCTCTGCAGGCCTCACTGCTGCCACGTTCCTTTCGATCGCACCAGCAACTATTCTTGGCCCCCACCCCCACTTATTCATGCCCATTTACAAGGCGTTGCTCGCAGTATCAACATTCTCACGGATGTTGGATTCGCAGGTATTGCGTTCTGACGTATTGGCATGTTCCTGTGGATAAATGTATACAAACCATAGGTCGGCGAACACATGAGTTCACTCGCTCACTCACTCAGACTCAGCTCGAGCTGCGAGTACAAGTCTGAGTGAGTCCGGGTGAGTAATAATTTGGTGAGTTTGAGCCCGAGCGAGTATGGTTGAGGCAAACTTTCGTGAGTGGGAGTCCCAGCGAGTCCAAAGCTGGAAATATATTTCAAGAGCGAATCTAAGTAAGCTTCAGAACTGATATAAACTCAGAAAAGAATGGTTGGTCACCTGCGGGAAAAAAGAAAAAAAAAAGCTCTTCAGATGCTTGCGGTACTTTTCATTGGGTTTAAAGGCGGATCGCGAACTGCCTGCTTGATTCTCAATATAACAACGTTGTATTTACAGAAAGGAATGGCTTGTTTAGCTGTTTTTCCTTTAAATTTGGCCCCTAAACTATTTTATAATTATGCGCATAGAATGAACCCTCGACGTAACTCTGCACTGGAAACAAAACCAAGTGCCCCATGGACGAAGACTTAGATAGACAGACAACTTGTGCTAAATGTCTAATGAATGTCAATTAAAAACAACAACGTAACTTTGCGTGACACTAGCGAAACACGAATAACGATAATCGCAGAATCTGAATAAGGCAGTATTTCAGCGAAAGATTCATGCGTCAAGCAACGAGAAGTCAAACGAAAGATCTCCTTGGAGCCTATGTGTCGGCTGGAGAACCTGTATGCGACAAAACAGCCTGAAGGCGCTTTCCTTAGCCAACTTTTTTTTTTTCTAGAGACGGTGAAAGAGGTTATCGGAAATACGGCAAAGCACGTCGTCGCTCTCCTGTGCTTCGCTTCAGTTCATAAAGGCTATGACAGTTATGTGGTAGTCTTTACAGGTTAAACAATATTTAAATGATATTGAATCGGGCACCGCGCATTCGTGGCCGATACGGAAGAATTGGTAACAATAAAAAAACGAAGAACGCTTCCGCATTAGATATCAATGTGATCCCTTGCAATTATTTGTTTCTTGGTCGATTCCACAAATATATATATATATAATATATATATATATAATATATATATATATATATATATATTATATATATATATATATATATATATATATAATATATATAATATATATATATATATATATATATATATATATATAGCGAAAGATGTGTATACCTAAGGGCTCGTTTTTCCGTGTTTTGAAACAATGTTAATGAGATCTAACAGACAATAGTGCCAAGAAATGTATAGGGGAAGTTATTAGAGCCACTGTAATGTAAATAAGAATTAAGTGGGTGAAAAGATAGCTATATATATATATATATATAATATATATATATATATATCTATATATATATATATATTATATATATATATATATATATATATATATATATATATAAGGGAAAGAAGTGTATACCTAAGGGCTCGTTTTTCCGTGTTTTTAACACAATAATAATGAGATATAACAGACAGTAATGCCAAGGAATGTACAGGGGAAGTTATTAACATTAATGGAATGTAAATAAGAAGAAAGAAAAGTGGATGAAAAATTACCAACTGTAAGCAGGAATCGAACCTACGACCTTCGAATTACGCGTTCGATGCCACTTTTCTTTCTTCTTATTTACATTCCATTAATGTTAATAACTTCCCCTGTACATTCCTTGGCATTACTGTCTGTTATATCTCATTATATATATATATATATATATATATATATATATATATATATGCCATCATCGTTGTCCTCCTCTTCTTCAACCCGTGTAATAGTGCAATGCGGTAGCACTATAGCACCCTTCTCGCATCTTCTTCTAATCCGCTTGCCACAATTGGCCACACAGTGGACACCTTAACGGTGCTGCACGTGAGGCTAAGAACGCCTGTGTGCTTGCCACTGGCTAGAAATACAGTGAATTCCACGGGACAGTATTTCTGCCCCCGTACAATGCCACCCACAGTGAGCTGGCTCCTACACTGGAAGCACCACTCTCGGTTTAATTCATGGGTGATTCCCTGAACCGCAAGTAAATTCCCCGCCTCAACAAACGAGCTTTAATTTTACCATGCGGCTAAACCTTCGAGGCAGTCATAGCCGCGAGGGAAGGTGGTGTTGCGGAGACTCCATCGTTCACAGATGCCTGGTCACAACATATCTGTGGACTATTTGGCGACGCTTGCCCATGTTGCACAGTTCAGGAGTTGTGGCCACCATCAAGCACTTGTTGTATGTGCCCTGGCCTGAACCAGCTATGATGGCAGTGGTCCGCCGAACAACAAGACCATTGCACTGACTCCCAACCATACATGCGGTTGTTGTTAATTCCTACCATTGTTCAGGCCTTTGGGCACTATAGAAATTTCAAAGAAAAGAAAGCATAACTAGGACTCTTTTAAACTTATAGTTGCGAAGCATTCACTTGTCTGTATCAAGATTCTACGTGCATCTAAGTAGCTGCACTCTTTATTGATGATATGAGTGAAGATGTTGTTGAATTATCGCTCAGCCCCTTGTGATGGGAGCAGCTTTCAAACGCACACGAATCTCGAACGGTGTCACATCTGGTGCAATTCTTCGCTTTTCCCATTCAATGACATCTTTTAATGACATGACATTCAATCATTCAATGACATGACATCTTTGCCCGTCATGACAAGAGTATAGGGCAGGGTTCCCAAGCACGCGGCCCTCGGACTTTTTTCTAGCTGCTCATAGCCTGTCTTGAAATACAATATTTTTTATTTAGCTATATGGTACTCATATTTTTCTCGTTCATTTCGATTAATAATGCTTTTTGTGGGTAAAATGCAGATATAAGACCAGGCTCACGCATTTTTTTTTAGTGAGACATCCCATGCGGTCACCATTTGTTAAAACATAACCGTAGATTGGCATCTTCATATTTCATAATCGGCAAACAGAACAGAATAGTTGTGGAAATCAGTGTATATATATGTTCTCAAATTATGACGCCAAATCCTCTTCGGGACTGAGCTGTAGTAAACCACGGTAGATCAGTGGATACAACGCTCGAATGCTGACGCGATGGTCGCGGGTTCGATTCCAGTCGTGGCGATCGCATTTCAATGGAGGCGAACTGTTAGAGGCCCATGTGCGGTGCGACGTATACCTGCACGTTAAAAAACACACTGAGACGGTCGAAATTTCCGGAGCCCTCCACTACGGCATTTCTCATCACATCCTGGTTTAGGGACGTAATACCCCGGATATTAATATTTGAACTGATCCACGTATGAGATGCTAGGAAGACGTTTCTTTTTATGGCGGCGTTAGGTATAACTTTAACCAACCCTCCCTCTTCAACTTTCGTAACTGTCCTGACCCCTTACGGGAGCAAATTTTCGACTATGACCCGCTAGGTGAGGTGAGTTTGAGATCTGCAATGTCGTTCTTTTTCCTAAGCAGTTTTAAGCAAGATTTAGGCAGTCTAAGCAAGCAAGTTTTAAGCAAGCTTTAAGCAAGTTCTTTGGCAGCATTCGTGACTGCTAGGCTGGGCTGGAATCCTGATCGAACACCGAATTTTTACAGCGAAAGCTGTTATGCGATCACAACTCGGGTCACGCGCGGTTGTCCGCCACCGCCGCTGCCGGTGTCCGTAACCACCTCGCACGAAATTATATAAAAAAGTACCAATCACACAGTGGCGCTCAATCCCGGGTCCGCTGGGTGCCAGCGCAGTGTTCTACCACTGAGTCACGCCAGTTGTTTTCCCTTTATTACACTTTCAATGCATCTTTTACATATATACACATGCCACACATCACCCACCAGCATGCGTAAGGCTGGCTGTAGTCACTTATGCAGCTTTAACACTTTCAACGTGTCTAATAAACTAAGCATTTCATCGCTTGTCCCACGGTGTTCTCGCACTTCTTTTAGCTTGGTTACCTGTTAAACAAAATTGGCGTTAACCTATCGCGCTTAGGGCTCAGCGTTTTCTACATCCATACGTGGCCTCCATATGCTATGGAGGTCGCGTCCTCCATAGGCATGAAGAAGTCATACGGGACACAATTTCCTTGAACAGGCAAAAAAAAAAAAAACGAATACCGTGCGCGTCGATTGGTAGCACCTTCTTCAATGTTCTCTGCGGTGCATCCCAATAAAATACAGCGTTCCAACAGTCAATAAAAACGTGTCCCCAGTTTCTGCTTTGTTACGTAAAATACTTATCACTCCCCATGGCACAAACATGCCTCGTTGTGCAAGCCATGTTTTCATAGGTAGTGTGCCCGTGGGAAGTTTAAAGAAAACTTTTCACCCCCAGGTGGGGCTAATATCTTTTTGACGCGTTTCGGGACATCGCTACCCAATCCGTATACCCATAAATAGTTCTGTATAGGTGGGTTGGAAAAAATATTGAAATACCACGGGTTCAGCTGACGCTTTATTCAAGCAACAGCGAAAATGGCGCCTATCATGAAGAGAAACGGGCGAAGACTGATGATGGTTATTGACAGATGAGGATGACGTCCAATGAATTTTTACACTAATTTCCCCCGTCGACGGAAGCAGCCAGCCTGGCCGCGAATTACGCTGGGGAACGCATACGATAGGGCTTGAGACGCGAAACGTGAACAATCTCGGTCCCGCGGCAGCGTTGGTCAGTGGGGACATGAACAGGTGTGACAAGGTAGTTCACCGGTGAGGTCTGTTTGATAACATTGTAGGGGCCAAGATAGCGTGACTCAAGCTTCTCGCATAAGCCAGGCGTTCGCGCAGGAGTCGGAGGGGCCTGAAGAGGTCAATTCCGACGACAGAGAACGGCTCTGATGGACAAGGAAGTGGTTGTAGGGTCCCGAATGGAGCAGTAGTGGGCCGCTTGCGGTGTTGGCAAAGTGCGCACGAGGCAATATATTTAGCTACCGTCGTGGAAAGATCTGGCCAGAAGAATCGACTGCGGATGCGCTCGTATGTTTTGTAGTAACCCAAGTGTCCTGACGTCGGGTCGTCGTGGCAAGCGCGCAGAACTTCAGTGCGTAGTGCGCGTGGTACGACGGGAACCCATCGGTGGCCTTCCGGGTGGAAAATGTATCGATGTAGCACATCGTCCTCCAACTTGAATAGTCGAAGTTGTTTCCGGAGTCTGGCATTTGGGGAAGATGAAGCGCCGGTAAGCCGACTGATGATGTCGGTGCAATAAGAATCGGCTCGCTGGTGAGTGGTAAGTACTGACGGACGGGTGGATGAAGGTAGAGAAGAAATCGATGATATCGACGAGGTGTCCTCCGTATAGCCGATTT